GCCTGCCCTTGGGTGACCTCGAGAGATGCGCTCCACCACCACTACCAGGGACTGTGCCTCTACGTGAGAGCTTGGTGTGAAATAGGTCTCCTGATTTTCTCACTGAATCTCCTTACAGCAGTGCTCTTCAGAATCCTTAAACTTTCCTTAACCAACTATGAGGAAGAATGGGCTTAAAAAGCAGAGGCACGCGATGCTTTTTCCCTTCCATGTGTCAGGATGGAATTAGTTTTGCTTATGTACTCAGAAGTAGGCCGGTGTGAACCTGCATGGATGGCTGAGGAGGTGGAGGGAGCTTCTGTGGGACTCCAGAAGGGATGTGTTGTGTTGTGGTTAGTGAGTACTAATGTGTCCGTAATTAGCCGCCGACATGTGCTCTTGTCGCTGTGCTTAGTCCTGCTTTGTTAGAACAGCAGCACTAAGTAAGCTATGAATATTAAGTGTCAGTAATTGTACAAACCTAAAGGCTGCTCTGTCGGCAGTAATTAGCAGCTCTGTTTTCATTAGGGCTGGGGCTGCGTTGATGCAGGGAGGGAGGGCTGTGCTTGATGGATGGCGTGAGAGATGGCGTCAGAACTCTCAGCAGCCAAGTGCCGCTCTTGCGCGAGGGGAAGGAGGGGATGATCCCAGCTGCCTTCGTACAGTGCGAAGGGCTGGGCATTTGCAAAGCTCCGTAGGACAGCTGTTACTGATTCGAGTGGGTCTGTGCTGAGTGATTAGATTGCTGCTTGCTGCTGGCAGACTTTCTGAATTCTTCATTAAGGCCCTTCCGTTGCCTGCAATGACAGTTTCATCCTCTCAAAAACTCGGGAGGGGAGGGAGGTAGTTTTTTCCCTAATGACCTGTCTCCTTCCAGCAAATACTGAACTGAATTTGGAGCGAAGCTAGAATTAACAATTTTGTTTCCATGGAAATCTCCTGGGCTCAGAAGTTGCTGTACCTTGAGAGCTGTAGGGTTTGTAAGGTGAATGAACGCTCTGGCCTTTTTCGAAGGCACCCCTTAGGCCGAGCATCTGTGTGGCTCCCCTTGCAAGGGCTGTCCCTGGAGTGCACTTTGTGGCTAGGCTGATTGTTCTCCTTCCTCTCCCCTGCCAAACTAACCTCCTCTCCTCTCTGCCCACAGCGTCTGCCACTACAGCCGCCTCTTCTGGGAGTGGGGGGAAGGCGTCAAAGTGCACGACTCTCAGAAAAGGCAAGATCCGGAGAAGCTATCAAAGGAGGATGTCCTGTCTTTCATCCAAGCACACTACCCCTAACCCTGCTCTCTTGAGGGGTGCAGGGGGGGCTGAGCCCAGCTTGGATTCTTCAGGGACCGTTGAGACTGGGGAGGCTCCGCAACTTCTGTCCTGGTCTTCTCCAGAGCTGATTTCCTGGAGGTGGTCAAGCCAGGGGGTGGTATGCAGAAGGCACAGGACGAGGCCCTACCCTGGCAGTGTATATAGAGTACAGCCCAGGTAGCGCCTGCTGCCGGAGTACCTGTGGTGACTCCCGGAGCCCTCTGTCCTGACCTACTGCATGCATGAGGCCAAGGGGCTGGCAGCTTTCTTCGCTCCTGTTCAACCATTCAGCGAGGTGTGTGGAGCTCTGTGTGTGCCGGAACTCTCCGGGCTTGTGCTTCCCTGGCGGTGTGGGAAGGAGCAGAGATGTCTTGGTGGCAGAGCTGGCCAACAGCACATCGAAGCGGCCCTGCATCAGTCCTGGCAGCTGTCTCCTTGGCCTTGTCTGAGGCCTAGACTACCCGGCGGAGGGTGTTAACTCACTGGGGAATGCTAGCTTTGGGACCCAAGTATGTGTTCTCGTTGGGGTCTCCGACACTTCTGCTTATCAAGGCACTTGGCTGGCTGCTGGCAGTTCCTGTGTGATGGTATCCTGTTGGACAAAGGCCAACGCAGGTGATGAGTAGAGTTCCTGGCAAAGATTTGATGTGCTCAGTGCCAGGGATTTCTCAGACCTCTAGAAGCTGCTATGATAAGGATTTCCCCTCTCTGGGTCAGTGACTGGTCCTGAGCCAGCAGCCTGGGATAAATCTGTGAACGTGTCTATGCCTCACGGTACGTCTGAGACCAAGGTGCTTTGGTTCTTGGTACTTGACACTGTTACCCAGACCTTCAGGGAGGAAAGCGGATGTGGGAGGGAAGACAGGAAGGTTGGGATGCTGGAGGCCCTTGGAGGAAATTATGGGAATGTCTAACTTAGTTAAAAAACCCAGGGCTTCAGTGAAAAGAGACCTTGAACATGTTGGTTAATTGGAAGAAACCCTGTCCCCTGGCTGAGCCCACTGGAAAGATGAGCAGGCTTTCCTTTTTAAATGTCAGACTGGGCTGTGAAACTCTCCATGTCTCATTTGGCCCTGGAACTGCATCTCGGGAGAAGGCAGAGAGCTGCGAAACTGCCAGCGTGGTGTTTGCGTGTCAACAGACTTCTCCGTGCATGTCTGTGTGGGGCTCAGAGTCGTCTTCTGTGGCTTGTTTTACCTTCACTTCTGGCTTCCATGGCACTTCGGCCAGGTCTTCCACGTAACTCAGAAGGGAACACACAGTTACTTTTGGCCAGCAGCAAAACTGCCCTTTTTGGTTTTATTTGTTCTTGGCTTATTTTTAAACACAGATTGGCGGTAGGGAAGAAGCTGATTGAGGGGTTGTCTGAACTGTGCCTTAAAGAAAGCTATAGTTCCCCTGAACCTATAGCCATTGTTTAGATATTGGTTTCTTTCTTTCCACGCCCATATGTATGATTTGAATAAGCTTTATGTAGCGAGACATGGAAATTTTCACTTGTAGGTGCGTGGGCGCAGAGGTGCCCTGCACCCCACTCGAAGGAGCCGGCACAGGGATGGCGTGTTGCAGAAGCCCCGCCTTCTGAGACCCAGCATCATGTGGAGGCTGCGCGCTCTCGGTGCGTAGTTGGACGTCATCCTACAAGTAGGCAGCGCTTTTGGAGTGCTTCCATGTCTTCACAAGCAAACGGTCTCCATCTGCCCGCGTGTTAATTCTCTACAGTCCAGTATAAATGAACTTAGCAGCTGCAGCTCCTTGCACCAGAGGAAATCTCGCAGGCTTGATCCCTGCACACCCACGCCCCTGGCTGAAGGAGCAGCACAGGAGCTGGCGTGGTCAGTGGAAACGGGAGGAGGCAAAGCCTGGGAGCAGATGGGAAGTGACCTTCCGAAGAGGTAGTTCTGCGTATCGTGCTGGGGAGCTATTCTGGGTCTTCTCACGCTCTGGCCAAGAGTGAAGTGGGTCAAAGCTGTTGTTACTGCAGCCTTTTGCTGACCTGAAGACCTCCCTCTGCTCTCAAGCATCAGTAAAACACGGATGCAAGGAGTGGTCATCCTCCCCTCACCCCTTCCCCAGGGAACAAGAGGCCTGTCACTGGCAGTTGGCAAAGGCATTTCCATGAGGGATGAGTTGGAATCTTTCCCAGTGGGCAATAAAGAACCTCCACCTGTGTGGTTTCCAGGCCTGTGCAGTTGGCTAAACTGACCAGCAGTCTGAGTTCTGGTGCTGCTTCGGCCTGCCTTGAGGCTGCCCTGGTGCCAGCCAGGCATGCTGCTCCCTGTGCCAGGCTCCTTTGCTCCGTGCTGTGTCCTCCACTCAGGGCTTTGGCCTCCTGTGGGCTGGCAGGCAGCAGGGTGACTGGGAAGCGCAGAGTGCAGGCCTCGGGGTGCAAAACAACCTGCTGCACCT